TAACCAACTATTTATGTAATATATTACTTGAAAATATAGTGGAATATAGTTAGCGCTAATCGTGGTAACAATATTGTAAGGTTAATAGGAGTATCCTGGGTATATCGTATCCTGAGAAGCCTGAAATTAAATTATATTAAGATTTTTGTACGAAAAAAATCTGATAATAATAAGACAAACTATAATATTTTAAAAATTAGTAACAATTAATTTTCAGAAGCTCGTGAAACATCATATAATCCATGTATATTATAAATATTATAATCTAATATAATATTTACTTAAAAATTTTGCTGCAAATTTTTCGCAATCTTTTATGTATTAATTAAATATTTGAACTGGCGAAGACATTATATATTATATTTTCTACGTGAATTAAATAATCATTTTAAGTAATTTAATTAAAGAAATTTGTATAATATTATTTATATTATTTATTAACAAATTGTTTATTCTACTTATAATTTACTTTATTTTATAGGCTTTAAAAGTATTAAAATCGTAATGAAGGAGTAAGAAATGGAATAAACACAGACACACAGGCATACGCACGTGCGCGCGCGCGCACGCACGCACACACAAACACAGACAAACACACATAAACGCACACATGCATATATATATATATATATATATATATATATAAATATATGTATATACTGTTTTATTCTGTTTTTAACTGCAACATATGTTTCGAAATTTCTTAGATATCCATTAAAGGGAATTCTTGTTGATTGGTTGATATAGTCCTTTTATGCCTTCTTCCACGAAAATCTTTAGAAGAATTTTATATTACCATATACTTTATATCGTTTGAATTTATTAATAAGAGTTTCATCTTCAAAACGAGACATATTGATAATCGCTTTTATTAATTTCTGGTTTAGTAAAATAATACAAAATATAAAATTTGAATCTCATAGATATGATTTGAATTGTATAAATCATGTTTTAATCTTAATCAGACGTATGGAATGGATCGTAAATCTTTTGTACTCGATTTTCTATCATAAATAAACCAATATTATATAACACATGTAAACATTACAAGATTATTTTGTAAATTATCATCTATATTAAAATTTTACTTGATTATTATAAATTATATTTAAAATATTTGAATACCATTAAAATTTTCTATCAACAATCCAAGTTCTATCAATGTTGCAATGTAGAATTTGTATTTAATCAAAGTGCATTCTTACCAAAATAATATCGTAAGAGAAAATCGTAACTATCAGTAAATATCAAAAACATATATGTTATTTATTTTTTTCTATATAGTGTCTATAAGCGACAATATGGAAGAAAGTGCTTCCTTAAATTCAGATATGTAAAGCTTAAAAAAGCTTCAACATTGTTTCTATATATTTCCGTACAAATATGGTGTAACTGTAAAGTTACAGATTTATATGACTTTAAGATTTATTAAATAAAACTTTAATAATAAACCAAACAACTCTTATGCAATTAGCTCACAATAATCATTTCAATTTATATAACTTTATTCTTAAGAGACAAGTTGAAGCATAAAGTTTTTAATCACCAGTCGCATAATCAATAAATATTTAAATATACCAAAATTTGCGTACAGCATAAAGAAGAAACTCTGCTCCTGCGATATTTGTAATACGACTGTAGTCTTAATTTTTCCGAAATTTTGTCTTTTCTAATGATCTCGCCTTTATCTGATATCATAAAAAACTATTCTTTGTGTGCTCACGTCGACAGCAATCCATTTGGAGGATTGACGATTAGTATTATTTCACGAAGTTCGGGACTCATTATCGCATAATAACAACTACACAAATAACCTAGGGACACGAGTTCTGTCGAAAGCAACGATTGTAAGCTCAGTTTACAGCGAACTGCTTTGTTTGGCTATTTGATCGTCATCATCGCACTCATCATCGTCATCATCATCATCATTAGCATTGCCATCATTCCCATCTTGCGCATACAAGGACAATGCCCCATAAAGGGAAATGTTGCCGTTGCCCACGTACCAGTGCACAAATTTATACGCAACAAGCGCATCACGACTATCGTTGCTGCTCGATTGTGTCTACAAATAATTCATCCTACGCGAAAGCGCCGATGGCGGCTACATTTTGCTCACCGAGTTAACCGGATTGTTTCACGCTGTGATTCCTTCCTGATGAACAGGAAGCGATGACTGCTTTATTTATTTTTTGCGGCCTTCATTTTTCAGCCGCGATACTCTGGCGCTTTGACAATCGCTTTGGAATATTTAGTTGAATTCCCTTCGAAATCCTTGTAGATTTGTAATTAGTTGACAATCAAGTGATTTATATTGGGAACTTAAAAGTCCGAGCTACTTCAATAATATCTTGTAACTAACTTATAGAGTATTTTAATTGTAATTTTTATTATTTTATTATTTATTAGCAAGGGAGGAAGATTTAATGGAGGGCTTAGCTTGAATAGGAATTCTAATATATTTGATAATAATTTTTATTGATAATAAAAATTTATTGATAATTATTATTATTGATAATAAAATAAATAAATTTTAGGATAAATTTCATTATTCAGATTAGATATATGATAATTTCACGTATACCTGCATAAATCATGGTAAATGAAAAACCAAAAATTTCTTTCTCAATAATATCAAGAAATGACAATTTTGAGTTAAATCTTTTCTTAATTCAAAATGAAATTTAATCTTGCGAAATCTAATAGAATTATAAATTAAGAGGTAATTTTATTTATATAAAATATATCCTTATCGATTTAATTGCATTAAAATGTTCGTTATCGACAGGCCTATTTACCAAAATTTTCTATATGTTCTTTACACATCAAAACTCTCTAATATTTACTTATCGCAAAGTATACCATAGAAGAAGAAATTCGTTGAAAGAAGAAATTTAATAAAAAGTTTAAAACTTACTTCAAATATTATCATTAATTCTATTGAATAATTGAATATTAAGACTTTATCAACATCATATTATTATTGTACTTGTTATAATTAATATAATCAGAAGTGCAATTACACTTGTATCTCTGTTGTTATTATGATTCTATTAATCAAATTAGAAATTAAGAATTAAATTAAAAATTAATTAATACGGATTTGAAATTTTTTCATGATTATTGCTATATAAGACATTTTTTACTTATTATCGGACATTACTCATGTTGCTGTATTTAAATACTATGAACAATCAATAAAATTATATTAATCATTATTTCCTCTATATTTTTGATAGATGTTGCTTTAATTTCAAATAATTTAATCACTCGATGTAAAAATCTGAGCAATTTATTCTGAAAATTGTATTATTTTGTATAATAAATTTTATTCAAGTATTAACAATGCGTATCTAGTCGCATTGAAACTGATTAAAAGAATTGAATTTTAATCCTGACTTTATGATACATAAACGCAAGAGTCTACAAATATTAACCAAAGTAAGCTTAAATGTATCTTAATAAAGTAGCAACTTTTTCTTTTCTATATTTTTCATTTTATCAGATACGAAAGATAGATTATAGAGTATTATCAATGGCAATACGAAACACCGGTAAAGTACCTAATGCTTAAAATAGAGAGAGAGAGAGAGAGAGAGAGAGAGAGAGAGAGAGAGAAGAAAAATCGTTTTATCGCCCAGTTTAATGGGAAACAGGACGCTATGTAAAGTTAGCCGAAATGACCTTTCAGTGCTAAAAAAGGGCAATATGGCTGTATTCGAGCCCTTTAAATCTTGCACTCGAATAAAACTTGGAAACGGGAGGCAAAAAATCGGCGACCGCCCTCGGATGTGGCAATCTCCGACTGAAAGATTTAATACCTCGGGTCGTCAAGTTTGTGATGGCCGTGGGGTCCGGGGGGGGGGGGGGGGGCGGCACGACGCGCATAGCGACCAACGTGTCGGCGTAAAAATCGTTATCGGAACCACAGAATGGAATGGAATGTAATGGAATTTCGTGGAGGAGGGAATGGGAGGGGCACTATTAACGGCCGCACCTCGCGATTTTCCGCGGCCACTTACGCCGTCTTTAATACGCGTTGAAATAAGCCGCCTTTGCGCACGCAAGCTCCTCCAGGGCACGAACTTTCCTTCGACCGAGACGAATACTAATCTGCACGCTTCTGCTTTTTCTTATTCGTGGCTTGGATTTTTTAAATTCGCCCAAGTCAGGCTCGCTTTGAATTCCGGCAGTTTTGGCACCATTGGTTAATAATTAATATTATAATCATTTGAATGCTTGTAGTTCTATTTCGCTCTTCTTTTTTCCTTTACCTTAATGGCACTTTTAAAGGCGCCTAATCGCAAGGTACTACTTTATTTCAACGCTCCCATCGTTCAATCGTTATGTATTTCGCCATGAAATTCTTACAAAATTCAAACTCAAATAATCAATTATAAATGTTTTTTGGTTGCCGTAGCTTCCCCTTAAGCTCGCTAGTGTCACATATTTATTTAGCATAAATAGTAGCGAATGTAGAACCGAATAGGAGATACAAAGAAAGTACACATATCGTAATCTGCCGTCTGAAAATCCTTATTTATCGAGTAATATTTTTTAATACTAAGCTTTTGGAAATGAATGTAACTGCCCGGTAAACAGTAGTATTTGTCGATACAATCTTATCATTATACTCTCTTTTTTTTTTTTTTTTTTTTTTTTTTTTTTTTTTTCATTAATGCCCGTAAATTAGTCAAAAACATAATCATCATTAGCGACGTTAGGCTACTCGCGTTAACAGAATTAGAGACTAAATGTATTCGTTACGTGAGAACGGTACTCTATAATATCCAAATATTATCAGAGAATGAGGCGCGAGCGAAAGCCTACCACGTTAACCAATTAAAAGTCTTTATATGCCAAAAGACTGTCGGCGATCGGCCGATTCCCAAGTACTCGCACGAAACGACATGAAGCGCAACTCGCACTAACGTCCCACGAACACACCACCCCAAGCGCCGAGATCGAGATAGATAATAAATCGCTCGAGCGTACAGAGAATGGGGGAAACGGGAGGGGTTATTAATGTTTCTTCACGCGGTCGGATCTCTACTGTTTCAGGGAGATGCGGCCATGGCTCGCCGTGCGAGCAGCTGTGCTACGAGCTACATGATGGCATGTACGAGTGCGACTGCAGGGACGGATACATACTACATAAGAACGGATACAGTTGCGCCGGTAAGTGCTCAAGCTACTGCTCTCTTACTCTACTCAACTAGCTAGTAAAATTGGCCTCGCCTCGAGCCTGCCACTTGCCAATCGTAAGGGGCCGGGAATAATTAATCGCGTGGGAGGCGTCTCGTGCGATTAATAACGCCTACACGTACAACTAACTGTTGCGCTCTATGGAATTAGGAGTTATGGATTTTGTCTTGGAGGATCTGTATGTTTGCTTTGGTCGAGTCGTATGTGCGTTCGTGTGCTTGGCTGACTCGTTTTGACACGGATCGGAGCGATCGATGCTATGCTTCATACGTCAAGACTCTCGTCTCATTCGTATCCATTGAATGCGATAGCAAATAATTACGTCGCTCGTTTGAGCTTTACGTCGCTTACACTTGCCTTGAGCTAAATAAGGTTTCGTTTTTTATCGTTGTATCGGGAGCTTGCGACGGCGTCTCGCACCAGGACAATCCGGTCTTTATTATTAATGGTGCATCGAGTAAAGAAGTTATATTAAAATCAAAGAACTATTTATGCATTGGATATACTGGATTTCAATATTATTATTATTTCCTACGTAAAACCGTGGCTTACTGCTGGACTTTATCAAAGAGGATAATCCCCCAAGCGTGACAGTATGAAAAATTTCACCTCGCAAAAACGAAAAGGAAATGTAATATTGACGTGTATCCAAACTGTAGAAACGCTTTGACATTAACTGATTTTTTTTTTTTTTTTTTTTTTTTTTTTTTTTTTTTTTTTTTTTTTTTTATTTTTTTTTTTTTTTTTATTAAATTTATCGACTCGCGTATAATTGAAAATTCAGGTGAAGATACTCACTGAAGGATATTAAATAGATTGCAGTAGGTTATATTTTTTTATATTTTAATTCCAGTTTCATATTCAGCCGCACCGTGATGAACAACACGATAGTATTTTTAAGAATCTTTATTCTAAATTTACGACTACATTTCATAAATAAATATTAAAAATTTTTTGTTTTGACATTTTCCTCGGTATTGTAGCGTGCATTAATTATTTTCCCTATTATTTTAAATAATTTCTTCGACTCACTTTAAATTTCTCATTGAAAATGTTCTCGTAAATCTCTATATTACTAGGTTTTTCTTTTTTTTTTTTTTTTTTTTTTTTTTGCTTTTTTTTTTGCTTTCCAAATAAATATTTATAATGCGTCAAAATATCGTATACAAAGAGTAAGATTAGTTTTGACGGCAATTTCAAATGTCAAAATTTTATCTTCAAATCTAAAGATTACATAGTTAAGGGAAAAAAAACAGTTTCTAAACAACCACCGTAGTGTAAATTCTAAAAATTTTGTAGTAAATACTTTATCAGCAACATTATCATTTTTCACTTTTTCTATAAATACAGTATTTTGCGCACACGAATGTAGGCGAATGTATGTATGTAAATACAGACATATTTTTACGCTTTTTACGACGGATTAGTAGAAAAAGTGAACTAAACTATGCGCGATGTATAATTGAACGTAACTGTCGTAAAAACCGCTGCCATCCTATGATTTACTTTTTCTCGCTAAATTTCGTAATCGTGTCGAGTTTATATAAAAAATTTTCACATATACTTTCCATAATTTGTAGTTTTCAATTTAATTATAGGCTTTGATATGCAAAAGTTTGTATTATTTAAGAAGTTTTTACTATTTTATTATACTCTGTCTAGTAACATTAATAAAACAATATTGAAAAATACTTATTTACTGATAGTTTACCGGATACAAATGTAATTATATTTTTACACGATTTTATTTTTAATTACTCACTATTGTCGAAACTGTAGCGTGGAAAATGCCTTGGAAATAGGTAAAATTATATTTATGCTTGTAATACGACTCTTAAAACACGATCGAATTATAGGAAAAACGCTAGAACAAATACTAATGTATAAATTCTTTCTCATTGTCTCAAACACTACATGTTGTTCAAGCGTTATATAATTATTCCGATTGCTCGGGGGAAAAAATTAAATATTGTTCAAAGAATATTTCATTGTATGCCGACGCATTCTCTACTTGCAAACTATCACAGCATAAAATCCAACACTCTCGAACAAATTACATAACAAACATCACGCGACCAATAAATTATTGTAATTGCGAGCGCCCCCCCCCCTCCCCCGATTGATTTCCATAGCACGAATGTTCGTTCCCCTGAAACTCCCGACTATAGTCTCATCTCAATTAAAAAAGGCAACGAATTCAAAGTACAGGAGGAGGATAGGATTTCGCACGAATGAATTGGGAAATCCTATTAGCCTGATAATGATTCGCGAAAAATGAGTGATATTACCTTAGCGGTGCGCAGACTCTAACAAAACTATCACGCGCGTACACTATGAGAATTGCAAATCAGGACGAACTTACGACCGCAAGGTCTTACCGAGGTAAGATTTTTTCACAACAATTGGCTGTTTTATCGTGCTATTCATGGATTTTGGTACGAGCCACTAAGTAGTGGCCTTAAGAAATATACAGAAGTAATGTTCCATCAAGTAGAAAGTATGAGTATATCATCTAAAGGACTTATTGATAACTCTTGGTTTGGTCGTGTTAGTACGTGCACGTGACAGTAGATAATGGATGTCCTTTGAATACTATATATTATTTATAATCAAAATTCGAGCAAAATTTGCTACACTACTATTTCACGGATAAACAAAAACAGGTTTCACACGAGATTCACAAGTACAAGAAAATGGGGTCAAAATTTGAATTTTTAATCTCCAATTCATCGTATGCGATAGCCGAATGTCCTTTTTTTCTTCAAATCTGGTGCATTTAAACATATTATTAAATTATTCCTTTATTCAATTTTTAATATTGCATTAAACGATTTATCATGCTTTTTTTTTTTTTTTTTTTTAAATAATACAAAGTAGATGGAAGTTAAATATTGGTTAAATAGTAACTAATTATAGATTTTAAAGTTAATGAATCAATGTTAAATCCACTTTATTTTGTGTTGAAAAAAACGTATATCATGACCTAATTCAATTGCCTCAACCGAATTTTATCCTTTGATTTTAATTCTCAACGCCTATCTGTATTCAGTCTATTGCCAATAATTATATCTATAAGTATGATATAATTTTATATATGACATATTTCGCTATATTATGGATATATACAGTCGTGAAAGTATATAGAGAAAAATGACATATTTTGAGATATATCAAACATCTATTTTGGATGGTATTTTTCGAATCACTTATGTACATGAAATTTAAAAAAAAAAAAAAAAAAAAAACTGTTATCACAATAATATTATATAAATAAATATATGGTTTGATCAAATTTATTTTTCTGTTTTAAGAATATACTTTTTAAATTTTAAAAATTTTACTTCGTTTTTTTTTAGACTTTTACTTGGATATTTCCGTTTTTTTTTTAAGAATCGGTAGGACTTGCGACGTACGACACGTACGAGAAAATTTCATTTCAATGACTTATGATAATTTTTTAAAAATTTTTTAAACAAAATACAAATATTATAAAAATTAAATTATAAAAGTGAGAGAAGTAATAAAAATCAATTAATTTTCAAAATTGCTAAACTTTCATTCGTTTTATAATTCACATTCAACTTCAAAAAGCTCGAAAAATGTCATCGCTACATTACAGTGGATTCCTTAAATCTAATTTTTATTTTAAAAATTATCATTTCTCGTTTGTTATTTATAAAAGTATATTTATAAAATGTACATTTCTTAAAACGTGCAATTTTAGCTTTCAATGACTAATAATAAAAATTCAGCGCGGCATCGAATCAGTTCATGACGTGGATATAAGATTTGGATAGTGCAGGCGGGCGCCCTGAAAATTCTAGCGAAATGATTTGTCGAATTGACTAGTACACGACTAGGATATCGAAATTTTCTTCTAGATTTTCCCTCTTATCAATATGCGATTTTCCATTCCAAAACTATATATGATGCGCTCGGTTTTAGTGAAAATCTCAATGCAATATTCAATGGAAATTTAATTTTTGCCATCTTATAAATCAATGAATTATAAGAGTCGTAGACATAAACAATATACGATAAACGTAATGAAATTAATTGTTTTCTCCTCAATTGTAGTAACCTCTAGTTTAGTTGGTAAATATTGACTTTTATATATGAATAGAAGAATAAGAATTTTTTTTACCTGATTTATATTTGGAACTTGTCGAATCTATATTTGGAAGAAAAGGCACGAAGAATATTAAACGAATATTTATATTTTTATTTCTGCTTTTTTTGAATGATCAAGAATACATTTCAGGTACTATTTTTGCATCCCTAATTTCCGAAACGAATAATACAACTAATTATTAATTAGCGAGGAAGAGTTGTTATTAAATAAATACGAAAGAGCCGAGTGAAATCAAGTGAAAAGCTCAAGTTTTTGCAATTAAATTCTTGTGATACAATGTTATATATTACATATTCGAAGCTTTAAGCTATGCGCGCGTACACACACACACACACACACAGATCTCTCTCTCTCTCTCTCTCTCTGTCTTGTATATATATATATATATCTATATATATATATATATATATAGCGTGCGTGCGTGCGGGTGCGTGTGTGTGTGTGTATAGCTTCAAGCTTCGAATATGATAAAGAAGCAAAATGAATCCAATTATGTTACTTTCATTAAAGCCTGTAATTAGGCACTATCAAGTTTATAGAAATATCAGCAAGTGATTAACAAACCTAATCGCAGTTGTAATTAACGCAGATGAAAGAAAAATGACGTAAAGGCGCGAGTGGAGTTTGGCATTTGAATTTGCGTTCAGTCACTGTAACGGCATAATTTATTTCCTAACGAGACTCGAGCGAGCGAACCGAAGCAGACAATAATATTCATCCTCGTCTTCGTGTCGCCTATATATACGAACACACGGAAAGGTTTAAAATTTGTGACAGAAGCCTATGTGGCGCAAAATGTAGGCCGAGAAAACTCAACATTCTATTCCTGATATCCGTTTTC